TGTGTGTGTGTGTGTGTGTGTGTGTGTGTGGAGATGGGATACCGCCATGTTGGCCAGGCTGGCCTCAAACTCCGGGCTTCAAGTGATCCTCCAATCTCAGCCTTCTAAAGTGCTGGGATTACAGGCATGAGCCTCTGTTCCTGGCCAAAACCTATTACACATTCAGGAACGACCGAGGGCATAAGCTTTTGTGTCCTTTAACAATGAAATGGATTATTCCTTGGGTATCACTTTGCTGGGGATGCTGTAACAAAGTGCCACAAACTAGGTGGCTTAGAACAAGACAAATTTGTTGCCTCAGGCCAGGCACTGCGGCTCAGGTCTGTAATCCCCATACTTCGGGAGGGTGAGTGAGAGGATCACCTGAGGTCAAGAGAGAGGATCAGCCTCCCAAGTAGCTGGGATTACAGGCACATGCAACCATGCCAATTTTTTTTTTTTTTTTCTGAGATGGATTCTTGCTCTGTTACCAGTCTGGAGTGCATTGGTGCGATCTCAGCTCACTAAAACCTCTACCTTTCTGGTTCAAGCAATTCTCCTGCCTCAGCCTCCTGAATAGCTAGGATTATTGGCATGCACCACCTCACCCAGCTAATTTTTGTATTTTTAGTAGAGATGGGGTTTCACCATGTTGGCCATACTGGTCTCAAACTCTTGACCTCAGGTGATCCAACTGCCACAGCCTCCTAAAGTGCTAGGATTACAGGCATGAGCCACCGCGCCCAGCCTTTCATTTTTTTTTTTTTAATAGAGACGTGATTTCGTCATGTTAGCCAGGCTGGTCTTGAACTCCTGACCTCAAATGATCCACCTGCCTCAGCCTCCCAGAGCGCTGGAATTACAGGTGTGAGCCAGCACACCCAGCCCTGGTTTTTCATCTGAAGGTGTGCTGGGGTCACTACAGGTGGCTTGTCGCCCTGTCCTGCCTGCTGACTCTGTACAGCCTCAGCTTCTCTTCCCTTCACCCCTAGGTGATGGTGAGCAACCCTAACTCCCTGGGATTCCAGGCAACCTTCTATGAGAGCAGTTACACGTTAGAAGGGAACAGTAAGTACAATCCGGTAAACTATGTCCCCATCAAACCTCGCCGTATGTCCCCCAAGGGCCCCCTCTTCCTTCTTCCCTTACCAGCATAAAGAGCTGAGGAGTTTCCAGAGGACACAGCCCCTAGCCCTGCCCAGTGACGGGAAGATGATCAGGCAGCCGTCACCTATGCATCTGACCTCATTAAAGTGTCACATGGGTCAGGTGTGATGGCTCAGCTATTCAGGAGGCCAAGGCAGGACAATTGCTTGACCCCAGGAGGAGGTTACAGTGAGCCGAGATCTAGACACTGCTCTCCAGCCTGGGCAACAGACGGAAATGCAGGCACCAAGCTGTTCAGAGGGCTTTGCTGATATGACAGAAGTCTGGGACTATCCCAGTGGTTGCTACTGAAACATGGATGAAATTCCCAGGCTGTCCTACTCAGTGTGCATTTGTTTTATTTATTTATTTTTTTAGACAGGGTCTTGCTCTGTTACCCAGGCAGTGCAGGAGTGCAGCGGCACAATCTCAGCTCACCGCAGCCTCCATGCTCAAATGATGCCCCCACCTCAGCCTCCCAATTACCTGGGACTACAGGTGTGCGCCCATACCAGCTTTGCTTTTTTTTTTTTTTTTAGGTAGATCCTCGTCCTGTAGCCCAGGCTAGAGTGCAGTGGTATGAACTTGGCTCACTACAATCTCCGCCTGTCCTGGTTCAAGCAATTCTCTTGCCTCAGCCTCCCAAGTAGCTGGGATTACAGGCATGCACCACCACACCCAGCTAATTTTTGTTTTTTTTTTAATAGAGATGGGTTTCACCATGTTGGCCGAGCTGGCCTCGAACTCCTAACCTCAGGTGATCCACCAGTATTGGCCTACCAAGGTGCTGAAATTACAGGCATAAGCCACTACACCAGGCCACAAATGCTCATTTCACAGTCCTGCTCTGGGTGCTGGCAGAATAGTGGTGACCGGAGGCAGCACCCCTGCCCTGGTGCACCCGAGTTACTCTCTCCCACTTCCCATGTCTGGGATGTGCTGAAAGACTTGGGCCACAACAGGCTCAAACTGGCTCGCAGGGGTAGACTCAGCTATTCGGGAGGCTGAGGCAGATGAATTGCTTGACCCCAGTGGGCAGAGGTTGCAGTGAGCTGAGATCCCGACATTGCACTCCAGCCTCGGCTATAAGCATGAAACTCTGTCTAAATAAATAAATAAATAAACAAACAAACAAAGCAGCCCAGAGGTTAGAGTGGAGGGGTCTGACCTCATCAGGAGATCAAAGAAGGCCTCTCGGCAGGTGGGGAGTGGAAAGATCAGCACCCCATCAGGAGGCCTTCCTCTCAGGTACAAGGAAACATGTGGACTCCTAGAACAGGATAGGGCGCACACAGCTCTGGCATGCTCTGGGGGACATGAAGCTGGGACTCAGCACTCTGGCAGGACGGCATCAAGAGCTGCCCTCTCAGCTACCCAGGAGCTGTACCCTCGGTCCCCTCCTCCCCAGGTGACAGTTCAGGTGTCGGAGAATGAGACTTACATGAGACAGGACCTGCCCTGGCTCAGATGCTTCATGCCCCACGGGAGCCAAGAGCTCTTGCGGCAGCAGTCTAGGAACTTAGAGTCCAGAGTCCCCCGAGAGGATGAGAGCACAGAGAGAAGTCCAAGGCTACGGCCTCCAGCCAGGTATTCAGTCAGTGGACACAACTTCCAGCCCAGACGCAATTTCGGGTCTTTTTTTTTTTTAGTTTTTTGAGGCAGGGTCTTGCTTAGCTGGGATTATAGATAGGTGTGCACCATCATGCCCGGCTAATTTTTGTATTTTTAGTAGAGACAGCGTTTCACCATCTTGGCCAGGCTGGTCTTGAACTCCTGACGTCAAGTGATCCACCTGCCTCAGCCTCCCAAAGTGCTAGGATCACAGGCATGAGCCACCTCACCCAGCCTAGGGGCCATTTTTACCACAAGAAGTATTGCCTGGAAACACAGCTGACTGGTCACCTTATCAGAAGGTTAACCCTTTATCATCAAGGGGGAAGGAGTGGAAGTTAAAATTAGGCTCAAACATTAAAATTAGATTGGGGGAGTGGAAATGGTGTCTAGGCAGTGGGAATAAATGCACTGAGGTGGGTGGGTGCCTGGAGTGGTTGAGGAACAGAAAGGAGTCCTGTGTGGCTGGAGGAGAGTGAGCATGGGAAGAGGGGTGTGTGTGTGTGTGTGTGTGTGCTTGAGAGAGAGACACATGGGATGAGGTCAGAGAAGTCCCAGTGGCAGATCACATAAGACCTTACAGAAATACCTAAGGAGGTGAGGCAGATCACTTGAGGCCAGTTGTTGGAGATCAGCTTGACCAACATGGCAAAACCTTGTCTCTACTAAAAATACAAAAGTTAGCCAGGCATGGTGACATGTGACTGTAGTCCCAGCCACTCAGGAGGCTGAGGCAGGAGAATCACTTGAACTGGAGAGGCAGTGGTTGCAGTGAGTCGAGACTGCACCACTGCATGAAAGCCCGGGCAACAGAGCAACACTCTGTCTCAAATAAATAAATACATAAATACATATAAATAAAAAGAAATAACAAAGGAAGTGTGAATGCATCGTGAGTGACTCTAATAAGTAAGGACTGAACACATTCTCAGCTGCTGGTAGCCTTACTACGAACCAGCTCAATGATATTGCTTTTCCTGGCCAGGAAGGCCTGCACTTGTCCCCTGGGGCTCACCTTTCTGTACACCAGGCCAGTGATGGCCGACCGCAGCCTCATCTGCAGCACCTGGAGCTGGTACCCGTTCTGCTGCTCAGTGTTTGCAGGCAGGCCGAGAGGAACATCAGCACAGCGAGGAGGTGGCCCTTCCAGGCTGGAGGCTTGGGATCATCACCACGAAACTCCAGGAAAAGGCTTCCCGGGAAAGGAGGGAGAAGGTACAGCTGGTGAGAGGAGGTTCCCAGGTGTGCTGTCTTTGCCCAAGCCAGGCCAGGTGTGGAGGATGAGTCGGCATGGTTGACTTTTTCACAATCATGATCTCGGTTAGTTCCCCCCGCTGTCCCTGCTTTTCAACCTGACTGCAGCTCCTCAAGATCAAGAGATGGCGTTTTTATCCCCACTTCTTATGGGCTAAATTTTGTCCTCACACAATTTGTATATCGAAGCCCCAACCCCCAGTACCTCTGAATGTGACTGTATTTGGAAACAGGGCCTTTAAAGAGGCAATGAAGTTAAAATGAGGTTGTTAGGCTGGGCCCTCATCCAGTCTTACTGGGGCCCTTGTAAGAGGAGAAAATGTAGACATGCAGGGAGGCACCAGGGCGCACACAGAGGAGGCCATATGACAACACAGGGAGGAGGCGGCCAACTGCACACCAAGGGCAGACGCCTCAGATGGAACCAACTTACTGATACCTGATCTGCAACTTCCAAACTCCAGAATCATGAGAAAAATACATTTCTGTTGTTGAAGCTGCTCAGTCTGTGATGCTGTGTGATGGCAGCCGAGCAGACACCACTTCAATCTGGTCTGGCCACAAAAGCACCTTTGACCAACAGAGTACAGTGGAGGTAAAGCTATGCCGGCTCTGAGCCTAGGCCGCAAGAGAAAATGGGGCTTTTGGCCTATTGCTGAGAACCCTCCCAAGCAGCCACATGAACAAGTCTGAGCCAGCTTTTTGGAGGATGGGAACCCACATGGGACAGAGACAACCATCCCAGCTTCAGATACACAACTGCAGGCACATAGGAAAACCCAGCCAAGAAAAGAACCACCCAGCCGAGCGCAGCCCCCATTATTGACCCATATTACCATGAACTAAATAAAAGAATGCTTGTAATTTTAAGTCACTCACTTTTGGAGCATTTTATAGCAAAAGCTAATTGATGCAGTCAGGTAGAAGCTTGCTTATTTGCCTTTCTGGGGGTCAGTCGCTTTCTCATTAATGTTCCTTCCTCAGTATCCTTCTCACCAACCCTCCAGTGTCCCGAGCACCAGCTCTACAGGCAGAGGCAGGAGAGCTGAAGTGCCCTGACCCTGGAGGGATGCCATTAAGAGACCACCAGCCTTAGCAGGGCACGTGAAGTCTGAACTCACCTGAATAGCTTGGGGACAGTGAACCTGAAGACATCACTGATGACAAGGCTGCAGGTCCCCAGGAGGAACGTAGAATTGAACACCTGCCAGATGGCCCTCAGCAGTGGGCCCCACTGGCTCCCTTCTTGCCATAGGAAGGGCTGGGTCTCTGGAGCCTCCATGCCACTGCCTCCTTTCCTTTTAAACACTATTGGCCTCAGCGTGCCTTAGGGGAGGGGAGAGGTTAGCTCTGGGTCCCATTTTATATTCTCAGCCATCAGCAGCAGGACCAGGCATTAAAGGCTTATTTTCCTAACAATGGGCGTGGGTGGGTGTGGATCCAGCCTGGCTCCCTCACCTGTTCCTCCTTATCACCCTGAGTACCCATTTAAGAGGCAGTCACAGGAGTTGTGGGGGAAGGTCAGGAGGGCAGTCCTGAGGCCTCTTTGATGGCCATGGGAAAGCACACGTGTTGAGCACCTACTACGTACGTGCAAGGTACTCACCAGTCATCCTAAGAACACTGGCAAGCCAGGTGTTGTTCTCATTTCACAGATGAGAAAACTGAGGCTCAGAAAAGCGAACTTGTCCAAGGGCACACAGCTGAGAAGTAAAACAACTGGGATTCAATTCCAGTTCTCTGCCTTCAGAGCCCATGCAATTTTCTTTTTTTGTTTGGAGATGAAGTCTCACTCTGTCACCCAGGCTGCAGTGCAGTGGTGTGATCTCGGCTCACTGCAACCTCTGCTTCTTCAACTCAAGTGATTGAATTTCTCAGACTCCCGAGTAGCTAGGATTACAGGCAAATGCCACCACACCCAGCTAATTTTTGTATGTTTAGGAGATGGGGTTTCGCCATGTTGGCCAGGCTGGTTTTGAACTCCTGACCTCAGGTGATCTGCCCGTCTCAGTCCCCTAAAGTGCTGGGGTTACAGGCATAAGCCACTGCGCCCTGCCTCCCACGTACTTTTCAATCTATCATGTTGTCAACCTGGAGGAAGAACAGCATCCCCTCCCCCACACACACAACCAGCCAGCCCTTAGGTGGTTTTGAACCGGTAGAGAATCACAGCTGATGTGCATGGGGCCTGGTGCTCTGGCTCTGGGTGGAAGCACAGACAGAAGCTCAGGCTGCCTCAAACTCATAAGATCCCCAGGCTTTGGCCATAACCAGGGGCCACAGAGAAGAGCTAAGGGAGAGGAGGTGGTAGGGGGAGGCCCAAAGACCCCTCCGGGGCAGGTCAGAAACCTGGGCCATAATGGAGACGCTGGGGCAATGCAGCTGCTGAGGGCTGGTTGCTATGTGGTCTTGGTCTTGGACTGCTCCCCTTTCTGTGTGTGAGAGGATGTGTATGGTCCCCCCTCTGAGCCCCTTGTGTGCCTCTGACAATCTATAAGGTTATCAGTAATTGCTTGCTTGCTTGCTTTTTTGAGACAAAGTTTCACTCTTGTTGCCCAGGCTGGAGTGCAGTGGCACCATCTCAGCTCACTGCAACCTCCATCTCCCAGGTTCAAGAGATTCTCCTGCCTCAGCCTCACGAGTAGCTGGGATTACAGGCACACACCACCATGCCCAGCTAATTTTTCTATTTTTAGTAGAGATGGAGTTCCACCACATCGGCCAGGCTGTTCTTACACTCCTGACTTCAGGTGGCCCACCTGCCTCAGCTTCCCAAAGTGCTGTGATTATGGGTATGAGCCACGGCGCCTGGCCACTTATCAGTAATTTCAATCCCCATTACAAATCTGTGACCCGGGGCCACGTGCAGACATCAGCTCTTTACACGAAGGAGCTCACTGACTTCCCTGGACCCCCTTGCCAGGTGGGTATTATTAGGCTCTCCATTTTACAGAAGGGGAAGGAAGCTGAGGCTCTGAGAGGTGGCGATAGCAGCCCGAGGTCACACAGCAAGGGCAGAGCAGGGATTGGAGCCTAGATCTTGACTTGTGGTTCCTAGAGTGTTTCTTGTGCACTAAGGACCCCCAACCCCACCATAGTAATAAAAGAAGCATTAAGAAAAATCCCCTTGTGAGCTCAGGTGGCCAGACCCTTCCAGGCCAAGGTCTTTGTTCCTCATTCCTGACCTGATCTGGTGTTTGGTTTGGCATCTGTGGAGGGTTGTGGCTCAGCTCTGTTACTGAGTGGGCATGGCCTGCTGCTCACAGGTATTTTGGCATTTGGGTCTCAAAGCCAAGAAGATGCCCCTTCCATGCAGAGAGCATCCCTGACCACCCTTCCTGTCTGATCCCACCGGTTCATTCATTGCCTTCACAGCCTTGCCCACGACCCCAACCCGCTCGTTGTCTTGTTAGAATCCAGGTGGTTAGACTTTGCCTGAGTTTTTCACCAAGATGTCCCCAGTATTGAGTCCAGCTCTTGCACACAGTAGGAGCTCAATAAACCCTTGTCAAATGAATGGGAAAAACAGATTGAGTGATGTGTGTAAAAGGGCCTAACAACAGTGCCCAGCTCATACTGTTATAAACATTTATAGAAGGATGGAGCCTGGCTGGGTGGACAGGACTTGGCTTTGGAGCCAGGAGACTATGGTTCCAATGCCTGCTCTGTCTCCTCTCCTCTGAGCCTTAGTGCTTCCATCTGTAAAATGGGGTTGAGGAAGAGCTGACTGGGAAGTTTTCTTTCTGGCTGGAAGTTTGCTCAGTTCTATTCTAGCTGTTTGCCCAGAGAGTCAGTGTGTTCAGCCTGCAGGCTCCATAGCAAGTGTTTTCCTCTCCTGGAGGTCTCACCTCCCATCAAGGAAGAGGTCCAGATTGCTGTCTGATGTCTGGTCTCTGGACTGAAGGCCATTTAGTGCATGACTCACAAACAGCTGTGGGGCAAGGCAGGGGGTATGCATGAGTGGCATGGGCAAGGTGTGAGTTGGGGGATACAAAAGGGAGTGATGGAGGCCAGGTGCGGTGGCTCAGACCTGTAATCCCAGCACTTTGGGAGGCCAAGGCAGGCAGATCACCTGAGGTCAGGAGTTCAAGACCAGCCTGGTAGCCTGAGCAACATGGAGAAACCCCAACTCTAATAAAGAATACAAAAATTAGCTGAACCTGGTGGTGGGCACTTGTAGTCCCAGCTACTTGGGAGGCTGAGGCAGGAGAATCATTTGAACCCAGGAGCTTGCAATGAGGCAAGATGGCGCCACTGCACTCCAGCCTGGGTGACAGAAACAGAGAGAAAGAAGGAAGGAAAAGA